ATGAATTCAAAATTCAATACTCTATGTGATATGCTATCAATGTTCCTATACCATTACTATACTTGTGGCTTAAACTATGTAAAAATTTAGTGTATCAGCTCGAAATCCATGTATGGATTGAAAGAAGCATCTAGATGTTGGAACAAGATATTTTCTGAATTACTAACTAGTTTTGATTTCAAGTAAAGTGCTGCTGATTCATGTATCTTTAGTAGTACAGTACAAAGTCCGAAATTCGGACTGGTTGGGACTTCGGCGACTCTGATTAGGGATTTTTCCAGATAATAGATCATTAATTTAAATCTGGTAAGATGGCATGCAGAAATTATAAAATTAAAAATATGAAATCGTAGTTTATGAAATAAAGAACAATTATGATTTAAAGGGTATCAAAATTTACAACAATAGCAACAACAACAACAAAAAGGGGGAGAGCTTAATATTTATTTGTTTACTTTATTAAGCATTTTTTTCAATGTAAGTTGTTTAAGATGCTTCCATAAAAAATTCAGAAAGTTCCTTTTTCTTGTGTCATATACAGTGGACTTTCCAATGCTATACTCCTCACATTGAGACAGATATGGCTTTATGCATTTTTTTGAAGCAATTCCACTTTTTGTTTAATGGACATAGAAACATGGTTTCACTTTGTAGATCCTTTGGCAAATCCAGAATTGGAAACTCTTTTCGACATAATTGAAAGTTCACGCTTAGTTTTTATAAAATTGGCGTAATAATAACAGTCTGCAAAAATTAATAAGCTGGATCAAATTAGATGATCAGGGAGCAGCACAGTCAGCTACATTAATTGAAATGCCTTAGAATCAGTAAAAGATAATTTTAGCCTAGCTTAATAGCATCCATTATACATTATTGGCTGGGTATCACAAGATTGGCGACAAAAGTTAAGTTGTTTCGCTAAATTTTGTTTTGCTCCTATTTGTGTACTGAATTAAGCCTGAATTGTATTAGTTATTTACTATACCTACGTTTATTTCTTGCACATGCTTCAAATTAATCCGAGTCCTGAATAAATAAACTCCCACATATACATAAATGCTTTATCTAGGGCCGGCGCTCGATAACGCCTGGTGCAATCTCTACGAGTCCTAAATTCTGCTACAATGTGTTTTCCTAAGTTCTAAATTTTCACCGTGCCAAAACATTGGATCCCAGTGCTTTCCCTCAATCATAAAAACTTCTCATTCCTTAATTTTACTGCTCAGTTTTTCCCCAAATTCCAAAATTTTAGTCTTCGTTAAAATCTGCCGTCCAGTGCCAAAATATTCTGCTGCTGCTTCTGGGTTTACGGTGAATAACATATCAGTTTTTCTTAATTGAAATAACACTAAATGTAATCTTTCGGCCTATGAGTTTCATTAACAAAATCTATTTTTAGCATATGAAAAGAAATTTTTGTTGAATTTTTCCTCGTCAACATTTCTTAGAGCATTTAAAAATTTATAATTATCGCCAAGCATGCATAATGTTGGCATAAAAGGTTGCCATACTCTTGTTATTCAATTACTAATATAAAATGAGATCACAGCATGAGTTATTACTGAAGCTGTCACGTATTGGTAAACATGCGGTGATGAAAGCAAAATATGATAAATAATGACTCGTCAGGTTGGCGTCAGGGATATAAAATAGGTGAATGTCTCGGTTAGAGATGTATGCAAAATAGATACTCAGGTACGGAGACAAATTATTAATCTCACAAATTTATGCTTACATGATTGTTTTTCCATAATGAGGTATTTTATTTAGTGCCTAAGTGAAATTAAGAATCGGAATTTTTAAGTGAAAATCTCCACACGTTTTACTATGGTAGGAAAAATCAAATGCGCATGCGTAAAGCATTAATAAAAGAAAAAAAAAAAAAAAAATTGTGGCTTTGAGGTCTGGATTTTAGATTATTCCGGATAATGGATGTCAGGATTTCGGACTTTGTACTGTATCTTTTAAAATAAGAAGTACATTTAATTCTGTATGTGAATGATGCTTTACTGTTGTGTGAAGAACAGGAAATATTAATTGAAACTGAACATGATGTGAGGAAGAAGCAATAATTTGCAAAACAAGCTGTTTTGTTGGAAAGCAAATTGAGTATAAAGCAAATGGCTCAATTTTCATACATTCAGAAAGCTATATTTCTGAAATGATTTCATTTAAATGATGCAAATCCTAACACTACCTGTAAATCCTGGTAAAATCCTATCACTAGAATCCAATCCATTATCAGAAGGGAAGACAATTCTTTACAAAAAAGTTATTGGATCATGAATGCTTCTTGCCCTACACATCCAGATATAGCTTTTGCTGTAAATGTGGTCAGCAGATTTCAAGCCAATCCTGGCCCAAATGCATTGGAGTGCTGTAAAACACATTTTCAAATACCTGAAAGCTACAGCAAACAATGACATCAATCACTGTCTAGTAGTTAATGATATTTACCATCTTGTTGGACACTCATGCAGATTTTGCTAAATGATGAGGATACAATAAAATCAAATTCTGATTATGTGTTTAAACATAGCAATGGTCAAGTAACTCTGTGCAGTCAAAATCAATCAACTGTTTCTACATCTACCACTGAGGCTGAATATAATGCAGCTTCAAATTTGGTAAAAGAAGTATTGTGGATGTGGCAACTTCTGTGGGTGTCCGCCGATAACATCGCAGAGAAAACAACGCAAGGCGGAAAACATCGTGATACAAAACATCATGGGAGAAAACATCGCGGTTCTAAGACATTGTCGTCGAAAATAAAGCGGTTAAAAAACTTTGCAGTTTAAAAACATCATCGTCAAAAATATCGTGGTAAAAAATAAAGTATCTATAAATCATCGCATGATGATAACATTGCAGATATGCTTTTTTCAGGTTTTAATAATTGTAAATGGATATTCCCATAATGATTTGTGAGTGCAAGATGTAAAGAAGGATAATTTTTACTTTCACATTTTTTTTATTAACTAATAAATTTTTGCTGAAAACGCAAGAAGGAAACTTAAACATAGAAAATTAAATGCAAGCTTATAGATTATACTTTTCATGAAAAATTACCAGTAAAAAAAAACTTCATTAAAAATAATTTATTATGGCCGTTGTTAGTTAACTATGTCGGTTTAAAATTCTTTTAAGTGCTATAAGTTGCATTAATTTTCTATGCTTAAGTTTCCTTCTTATTTTCTCAGCAAAAATTTATTAGTTAATAAAAAATATGAAAGTAAAAATTATCCTTCTTTCCATCTTGCGCTCACAAATAATTATGGGAATATCCATTTACAGTTATTAAAACCAGAAAAAAGCATGTCTGTGATGTTATCGTCATGTGATGATTTGTATATACTTTATTTTTTGCCATGATATTTTCGACGACGATGTTTCTAAACTGCAGAGTTTTTTAACTGCTTTATTTTTGAAAACGATGTTTTCTACCACGATGTTTTCTCCCACAATGTTTTGTAGCAAAACGTTTTCACCTTGCGCTGTTTTCTCCACGACGTTTTTGGCTGTTACCACTTCTGTGACATGTAGGTGAAAGTGAAGTGGGTATTGTTATCTTCATTGATATTCAGAGTGTTATTAAGCTTATCAAAAACCCTAGGTTTCACAAATGTACAAAACATACTGACATGCATAAAAAGTGTGAAATCTGTCATTATAAAGTATGTAGTCTAAAAAGGAGTTAGCAGATGTTTTCCCGAAAGCTTTTCCCAAAGTAAAATTTAAAAAGTCACGAGAATTACTTAGCATAAAAGATAAGATTCTCATGTGAACTTTTAACCCTTTGGCTGCTTATCCCGCGATTTCCACAGGCAACTCAAATGTAGCAAAATCTGCTCATCCCGCGATTTCCGCGGGCAATGTGTTCTTCTTCCTTTATTGATGAGCGCATCCCATTTTTTTCCCATTTGGCCACTGAAATAAATTACACACAGTATTAGACGTTTAGTTTACGTTTTGGACAACAAATATTGTTAGTTGTCCACTAAATTGGGGCGTTTGAAAGCTGGTATTACCGCTCAAACACAACATTTTGCCGCTTTTTTCTTACAGAAATGGCCCCTCGAAAACATTCAGCGACTATCTTGATTATTTAATTAAATTATTGAATTATTAATTAGATTTATTGAATCTCGTGCAAAAACTGTGAAGTTGGACTTTGCCTTGAACCCCGTTTTGAACTCTATCATACTAAACTGCATTTTTAATGTATTTTTCCCTCAGTGCTTTATATTTTCTTAAATTTTATAATTCTACCTTTTATATTATGCAATAAATAGAAATTAACTGTAATTCGACTGAAATTTATTTAAAAAAATTTTTTTGGGGTGATAATTATTTAAAAATTGGTATTTCTGGCAACTTAGTTTCTCATGATAAATATCTATATAAAAAATATTTTCTAGAAAGAAAAAATGCATTTTACAATTCTCCAATATATATATATTTGAAATTTGAAGGGGGAAAAAAATAAATAAATAAATAAATTACACAATTTTTGAAGCGATTTTGGTCCACAAATTGAGCAGTCAGAGGGTTAACAGATTTGCATCAGTTAACAATTTTTTCTCAATATTTTAATTTAAGCTTTGCTTTTCATTGAATAATTAGTTTAGTTTTTCTTGGTTACATCACTGATCATATTTTTTTTTTTTATTTCTAGTGACAACAGAACTGTATGGAGTGTTAAATTTGTATTTCCATTGTACTTTTTGGCAATATTACTGTATTCTTGTGTTTATATTCTATGAATGTTTTTCAGTGGCACGTGTTGCCCATGATTTTGTTGTTATTTTTACTCCACTTTAATCTTAAATAAATTTACTTATACTAGTAATGTGAACAATATATATAGATATATATATATATATGTGGAGCCATGGTTAAAACAGATTCAACATATTTTTGCTAATTTAATGAAAAACAGACAAGATTTACAACAGAAAGAGCTATTTTTCATATTAACGCTTTTTAAAGAAAAAACTCACTTTCCAAAAAGTGTATACTTCATATCTAAATGAGGCTGTTTTGCATATGTGATAAAAAATTGAGAGCCATTTGTATTTGGTCCATTGCTTGCCATAGATACAACCCCACGAGTATTATGCTAGGGAAAAAAATTAGAATTTTGATATCACTATTTATAGTAAAAAATATTTTCAAAAAATTTCACGGCAGGAAAACGTAACAAAGGAAAATCATAGCAAGAAAACAAAATTCAAATCCTAAAATTAAGAAAAAAGTATTCTAAAATATGCAGAATAAGTATATTAATATAGTCTTTAAAATATTTTAAATACCATATAATTTAATACTTTATAAAGCATTAGTTAAAAATACATATGGAATTAGCATACTGAATTTCCCAAAACAGACATGAAATTCAACATAAAAAACTTACAGCAATGCTCTCAAACTGTCTACCTACAGTCTGTTTGTGGCCCCAAAGCAATTTTATGCTGCCTGCGAAGACCTTTCAATAATCTGTTTGTTACAAATACGGTATTGAAATATTTCAAAACTCTCATTACTCAAAGTCCAATTTTATATTACAGTCAAAAGTCGTTAATCCGGACTTGTCGGGACTTCAGCGATTCCGGATTATTCGTTTTTCCGGATTATAGATCATCAGTTTAAATCTGGTAAGATGGCATGCAGAAATATAAAATTAAAAATATGAAACTGTAATTTATGAAATAAAGAACAATTATGATCTAACGGGTATCAAAATTTACAAAAAAGCTTAATATTTATTTGTTTACTTTATTAAACATTTTTTCAATGTAAGTTGTTTAAGTTGCTTTCTTTTTTTATGTGATAATACATTCTCTTTAATTCTATAAACAGACATAATTGCTTTCAGTTACAAAGTTTCGCTGTTTCAAGTCCTATAATTGCTGTGTCGAGAATACCGACTAATTTGTCAATCAAAATTTTTTTGTTTTCAATAACCTTTGTCACTTTCTTCGCTATCGGAAGCAAATTATCATGACGAGGAATTTGATTTAAATCATATCAAAGACAGAGTACATCGAGATGAAATACTACATTTAGTAAGGAATTATAAGCCAAATAAAATAAAAACATCTGCCCTGAAGATAAGGATAGTGCTGACAGATCAACTTCCAATTCATTACGCGCCAAAGATGCGTTAAAGATAAACAAAGTTTAGATAAACAAAGGATATGCCTTTATCCATTTTTTGCAGCAATTCCACTTTTTGTTTAATGGACTTCGAAACATACTTTTGCTTTTACATATGAGTAAATATATATCAGAAATTCTATTTGACATAATCGAAAGTTCAAGCTTACTTTTATAAAATTGCTCTAACAGTCTGCAAAAAATAATAAGCCGGATCCAATTAGAAAGATTAAGGAACAACGCAATCTGCAACATTAACTGAATTAGATAATTTTAGCTTAGCTTTATACCGTCCATTATACATTAAATGCGCATTCGTAAACGTATTTTGCGCACGCGCATATTCGCATCCGTAAAGGTCTTACGCGCATGCGTCAACGCGACGCATGCGCAGAAGGTTTGTAGCTTTGAGGTCCGGATTATAGATCATTCTGGATTATGGGTGTCCGAATTAACAACTTTTGACTGTATTTTCATTTCCGTTAAAAACAAACATATATAATGCACCAGAAAACCTGGCATACCTTCCAGATTCAAATCCAATAGAAAATGCATGGAATTTACCAGTATGTGGACTTGCATCTCTGTGGCTCCCTCTAGCATTCTTCGGGAGCTTCAAGGTGTTGTTTGTCATGAATAAATTTTGATATTGTAGAAACTTGTGGATGATCTAATGCAGTCCAAAAAAAAATGCTATAATGTTTGCATTTCAGTTACAAATAACCCTATATTTTATAACACTAATGTTTCTCTTCCTCATTTTATATCACATTTCCAACCTTCTTATTGAGAGTGGTGTTTTTTTTTTTTTTTTTTTTTTTTTTTTTTTCCATAGCACAATCATTCAAGTTGAATGAGTTCCTACCAACATTACCAACATCATAATCATTATGACATCATAATCATAATCAAATGTAGATTTCAAAAGATATCAGAACAACTATACATTAAAAGATGCAAAACATTTATAATACTACAAAATACTCATGTCACTTTAATCTGAAAATTTTCTGGATATTTTCTCTTCTTTATTTTCCTCCCTTTATTTACTTTTCAAAGTTTATTTATTCTAATAAATGAATTAATGCTCTTACTAGTTTCTGAATCATCTTCTAATAGTATCTACTAATTTATTAATATATTCAATATTTGCTTATTTGTTAATCCATTAACCGCCAAAACTACAAGGAATGTTTCTTTTCTCATGAAAATAATAACAAATATTAAATTAAGCATTTATAACATAAATTTACATTGAAAAAAAAAAATGCTCTTACCTGTGGAAAACACGAGTGCTGCGTTCGCGCAACATCAGCGAAATAAGACTATGGATGTTTAGTGGGTAGGATTGTACTCGTGTGATGTTACTTTTGAGTGGAGCGCAGGATTACTTTTTAGCTGTATAACGTTTTATAAATTTACAAATCGCTTTACTTGTAATTAATTTAATATTAAAATATACATTGTATTTCTTTTACAAATACAGATTATTTCAATTGAAAGATTCAAGCATGAAAAGCGGATTACAATCATGATGTAAGCTACATTACATACTTTGCATCTATAAACAGTCTGGCTATGGTACTCTTTACAACAAAGTCTTTTGTTATCAACGGACTTTATGATAAAATGTCTACCATCTTCATGCAATGATTTTTGAATGCTGAATTTACTAGGTCTTTCTGTTGCTGATCTATTTCTGGCTGATTCTACACTCTCAATAGGAGTTTGCAAAAGGAATAATGCATTCTCGCGTCTGAAATCTAAAGGAGACTTTATATTTCCAGCAGTAAAAAGTGGTGATATTTAGTAAGTTTAGATACGGTCTCACCTCATATAATTTATCAGTATTGTCAATTTGACTATTATCAAATGCAAATTCTGCTTCATATTCCTGTACTGCAAACGTGATATCGATTCTTGTACAACAGGAACAGAAATGTCCTTATCAAAAGACCAATACATTTTTTCTTGAGGTAAAGAATGATATCCTGTAAGGAATAATATTCCAATAAATCTTCAGATGCAATAAATTCTGGGCGCTTTTTTTTTTATTCTTTTTTCTTTTCTTCTTCTTCTTTTTTTTTTTCCTGAGCGTATATATTTGTCTGTTCAACGAGAAGTGATTAAATGTCTAAACCAAAATGAAAATCGAAAATCTGTGCACTAGTTTTACCTTGTATTTTTGTCTTGTACCATGTCAGTTTCATTCTGGGCATTATTAACATTATCATCATCTGTTTCTTCATCAAAAAAATCTTTGAAGGGCTTCTTCTGATATAAGATACCTCATTCTAGGCATTTTTAAACAACCAGAACATAGAAAGGAATGAGTGAAAAAGGAGATTGACTACCCGTTTCCTGCTGACGTTGTTCACGCAAACCTGTTTTCCCTCCTTCCCAACACAAATATAAACATCTGACTGATGTAATGTTCTGATAAATGGTGACCTTGACTAAAAATAAACTCATAAGATGGCGATTCTTCGTTATATTTTCAGCAAATCCCGGTCGAAAATTTTGCTTAAAGTATGAGATTAATTATTATAAACAAAATGATTGTTGAAGGCAAAAATTTTTTTACTGATACAATCTTCATAATATTCCCTACACAAAATCATCTGCTGGTATAAAATATCTTAGGTAGTTATATTTATATACGCATTTATTTTGACTGTTGCATCAACGCAACACCAGCGGCTAATGGGTTAATACCTTCATCATATTCTAATATGTGTTTGTACTTTTATCAGTGAAGAAATATTTTTTTTTTCCAGTATCCATTTGAAGAAAATATCTCTTTTTGTTTTATATAATCAGTTTTTTCCTCAATAATTTTTCTCTTCATTTTTAAATTTTCAGATTTAATCAAAAATGTTTTTATTCTAAAAAACTGCACATATCTAGAACACACAGCAGAAGTTGTTAAGCTTACTTCTGTTTAATAAATGTTCAAATATGAAAGATAAATCTTTTAAATTCTGTATCAAGAAAAAGACATCTGGTCTCAAAAGTAGAAAAAATATTTCATTACTATGGCCCTCATTATTTAAACAGTGCCATGAGCCTTCTTGTCAGCAAATTGTGCTAAAGCAGCAACCCTACTTAAAGCTCTTGGCAAACTGTGGCCAAACAATTGGCAGGCCTAACCACAATCACTTTTAGTCTATCGGACTTGAAAAGAAGTCTGAGTAGGAAGGCCACTTTTTCACAGTCTATTAGCAGAGCTCTTGTGCTATTTAAATAATGCAGCTCATAAAATAATAAAGTAACTACTGTGGAAAATTCAAATAACTCAGTTTTCATTGCTTTCTCTGAAAATTCTCAAATAAATATGAGAAACCCATCACAATCTTACTGTGAAACAATCTATTTTGCATTAATACCAATAATACACTTTTCATTTTGTCACAGGCCTTTTCCTAAACTTTTAACCATTAAAATACCTAACAATTACATGAGAGTAAAAATCTGAATTTTTTTTTTTTTTAAAGAGAGAGAATTTTACAGAGAAAATAACCCAAACCTGAATACTTTGAAAGAATTACATAAACAAAATAGTTATCATAAAAAATTAGATAAATAAAATTAAATTTTAATTACAGCTAAAAAGTAGTTCAGAAATTATATTTTATAGAAATGTATTATTTATAGAAATTACATTAAACAAAACAATATATATTAAATTATATATATTGTTTTGTTTAAATTTCAAAATCAAGATAATCAAAAATTGTCCAATTAAAAGGTAAAGATAGTTTAAAACATGACAGGTGACAGCAAGTCTGGACACCCAGGTGGCTTTGTAGACTAATCTAGTATTGTCCGGATCCTGCAACCATCTAAAGCAGGGGTTCTTAACTGGTGGTACGCAAGAGAAAAATAGGTGGTATGCAAAGAAGCAAATTATTTTTAACTATTAAATTCAAAAATTAAAACCCCAATATCCTGATTGAGGTTTTT